CCCCCCCCCCCCCCCCCACCAACTCGTCAGCATACATTTTATGCCTCCATCCACAAAATTATGAGTTCTTTTTTTTTCCCAATGAAAATTTTTTAATGCACAGTGAAGTGCACAGTCATTACACTACAAATGCCAGATCCGTATCACCATACAATTCACTGAACGAAATATTCTAAACTGACACCGTTACCCAAAAGTCGTGGACAGTGTAAGTGAAACTAATCCCTGCCTCTTTTAGGTGTGAATCGATAAATGGGAAATCAGGCAAGAGAAGAAAGAGGTGTTACAAGAGAGTAACAAACACAAAATAGAAGGAGGGGAGATAAGGTCGATATATGTTGGATAGGAAAGAAGGAGCAAAGCACACCGGAGCACCTGCCAACCACCCACAGACAATACAAGGTAATGGGAAAATTCGACTTTGGTATGAAAGAACAGACACACATCAACACAATAACCGTCATTTAGTGGAAAGAAAAAGCTAGATAGACAGACTGATACAACAAAGGGGGGGGAAAAAGAGTCAAAACATAACGTACATAATTTAGAACACAAAAAAAAAATTCTGAAGGAGGAAAACGAAAGTAGACAAATCCTTGGGTGTGTTTAGTTTAAGTAAAAGCGTTTTGCCACACTATACATACAAATAGATCATAAAAGTGTCAAAGCTTAGAGGTTATCCCACCTGCCAACCACTCCAGGACCCAAAAGAAGAGTTATGGGGGGGAGAGATAGAGAGTCTCTACAGCCCCATTAGGTTAGGATTATGTAACAAATGGACTGAGGCAAATAAATGTGAGTTGCAAAATACACAATGAAAATATGCATTTCCACACCATTTACGATAAGCACAAATGACCCAATGGAAAAGGAATTTAAGATTTAAAAATCTGATTTTATGCAAATCTGATTGGAACTCTTTTTTAACTGGCGCAAAAAAATAATTTTTTAATGGACAGCCCAGATTTGAATGTCAATGGAGGGTGCCCTGGTAAGTCCTAGGCCCTTCTTCTTTACTTTCCCTATATTGTTTGTCGGCCCATCTTACTGTTTCTCAATCTCACCACCAAATGACCATAATAATTGTGTCACACACAATGTGCTTGTCTTTACTCAAACTCCAACAAAAGCAAACAGCTCAGTCTTAATCAGAGCACTAGGCAGGTCTGTACTACTACAGAGTTACAAGTAACATGCAAAGAAAAGAAGGAGGAGAAATACGGACGACACATGACAGAGAAGATCTGAGAAAGGAGGAGTAAAGCACACCAGAATGCCTGCCAACTACCCAGCAAAACTGCTGGAAAGCCTACATGGTCTGCAAGTAATACACAAAAAAATCCTTTACTGACCTCATCGTTTCCAGGACCTCCTCTGGACCCTCTTTCCCTTCCTGAAGAAAAAAGAAAACAACAAATTTGTTTTAGTAGAGGTTTAACGGCGCTCGAAACTGCACAAGGTCATATATGAGCGCCAGAAGATTAGAGGAGTGACAAGGCAGTAACAAACACAAAAAGAAGGGGAGATATAGACCATAGATGTTTGATAAGAAAGAAGAAGCAGACCACATCAGAGCACCCGCCAACCACCCACTAAAGAACAATTTGGCACTGAGCCGAGATGCAACACCTCACCAAGCATAAGCCGCAGAAGTTACAACAAAAGCAAAAATACGGATAGTTTTATGGAAAATAAAGACAACTGAAACTGAAAGGGAAATGCTTTTTTGTTGTTTAATTCAGTCAGTGTTCAGTGTCACTCACACTGGTCATCTGAAGTCTGATGACAGACCAAGAGCAACTAGTCCAATCAAAATGGTTATAAAGATGGCACAAAAAGGAGATTTCAAAGTTGAGAAAAACAAGTCACACTCATACTTATATTAATTGTTTTTGTTTTGTTAAGTGTTTTACAGCACTCGCAACTGCATAATATGGTCATCATGAGAGCGCACGGGACACATTTATCATTGTCAGTTTGGTAGAAGTTTATTTTGAATTTTTGCTCGAGTTGCGGCCAGCAAAGCCCACTCATCGATTTTAGGACCACCAAAGGATCTTTAACGTGCGCAACTTGCACATGGAATCACCCAGATGTTTTTGCCCTTATCCGAGATGACTAGAAAGTAGAGACAAAATCAGACGACAGAACATGAAATGATTAGAGAGCAGGTAAGGTGAAAGAAGGAAAACATTTTTAGAAAAGGAAATTTTCCGTAGCTGTCAGGTTTCAAACTCGGGACCTATTAAATGCGAGTCAAACATAAAGAGCCGAGCCCCTTCATTAAGATCTATGCAAAGTCATGTTGGTGACATCACAACATTAATATTTATTTTTTCTTGCTTATATGATAAAGACCATAATAATATTATCTTTATGGACACTGAAGTTTTGAGAGTTCACATGCTCCTGCCAATGGAATCATATCATATTACTAAACAGCTTAGCCAAAGAGTTTACTGACCCTAGCTAGAACAAACTCATATTCACACTAAAAAACTAAAATACTTCAGGCAGCTTTTATTTTCATTTGTATACTGCTGTACTACATACTACATGATGTCTTAGGAAGGTTCAACCCTATCATCACCAACAAGAATACAGAATGCTGATTTCTCCGACACTGGTATAATGTAGAACTGAAACACATCGAGCACCTCACTTCCCTGCATCCATTTCAACCTCCAGTATTTAGTTTCAGTAAGAGTTCTACGGCACTTGCAACACAATAAGGTCATATGAGTGCCGAAGAATAGATGTGTTACAAGAGAGTAACATACACAAAAAAGGAGGAGAGACAAGGACGATAGATGTTTGATATGAAAGAAGGAGAAAACCACACCAGAGCACCCGCTTGTGACCCACAACCTCCAGTTTTGTCAATCAGTGAAGAACAAAGTAGGTAAAGGCAAATAAACTTCAGGCCTGCAGTCAAAAGTACCTCAACAAAAACACCCAACCCAAATTATGGGCGTCAGAACATTCTAACTGAGCCAGGTCCCAATGCATCCACTGTCAACTGGGAGTGGTTTTGCATGCAACCTGACTTAAGATTAAACGTAAATGGGGTGATGCTGCACTGGAACACATGATGACACCAGGGGACTCAAACCGTCAATTCAAAACGTTCATGAAAAACCAAAATAATGTTAAGATGTAGAGTATCTGTTCTACACAAGTAATAAAGTCACAATCAACAATACAAAAGATGACTTTAAAATAGACGAGATAAGGCGTACCAGCAGCACTGAGACTCATGTTTCACACACAAAACAAAAAAACACAACAACCCCCCCCCCCCCCATACAAGACACAAATAAAAAGAGGCCTCTGTTGACAGACAGTGGTCTCTGCGACCGTGACAGCAAAAGATGAGTGTGGGCCAAACTCTTCCAAACATACATCTAGGTTTAGGGTAGGTGATTTCAGCATCAGGGTTGGGGTGATTTAAATCAGTTGATTTTTTTGATTTAAATCAACTTGATTTTTAAATCACTTTTTTCAAAATTTATTTTTATTCAGTTTTTACACATTTCAACATTCAGAATTCCTTTCCTTGGTTTCATAAAACAGATATAAGGTTTAGTAGAATAATATAATCATGCTTAAAAGTCTGCTTTTCCCCCTTTCACTGTAAAATAATACAGTATTCAATTTACTTTTTTTTTCATAATTGAAATCAGAGCTGGTTTGATTTAAATCAGTTGATTTTTTAAAATTTTAATCAACTTGATTTTTAAAATAAAAATCAGTGATTTAAATCACTTTTCAAAAAATGTATTCAGCTTTTACATATATTTAAACATTCAGAATTCCTTTCCTTGGTTTTATTAAACAGATATATAAGGTTTAGTAGACTAATACTAATATAATCATGCTTAAAAGTCTGCTTTCCCCCCTGTCACTGTAAAATAATACAGTTCTCAATTTACTTTTTTTTCATAATTGAAAACCAGGGTTGGGTTGATTTAAATCAGGTCGATTTAAATCAGTTGATTTTTTAGAATTTAAATCAACTTGATTTAAAAAATAAAACTCAGTGATTTAAATCACTTTTTAAAAATGTATTCTGTTTTTACATCTTTAAACATTCAGAATTCCTTTCCTTGGTTTTATAAAACAGATATAAGGTTTAGTAGACTAAAATAATCATGCTTAAAAGTCTGCTTTCACCCCTGTCACTGTAAGTAGTAAAATAATTACTGTATTCAATTTACTTTTTTTTCATAACTGAAATTAGCTTTTTCTTTTTCTTTTTATACAAACACAAGTGCGCGCACAAACACACACACTGTAATAAAATGCAAGTTTATCTATGCATAATTACCCCCCCCCCCCCTTCCTTTTGGACTGACATTTTCTTCATTTTTTGTCTGTAGCCATAATTCACTGATATAGCAGATTAAGGCTTTCTAAAATTGCAGTTGCTTAAATTAATCATTAGTTAAAATAAAGACAATGCATTTTGCACTAAAAGAACTTACTTTTAGCCACCAAAAATCCCAAACAGAGTCTGCATTTTTTTTAAAATAAAAAAAATCCGATTTAAATGAAAAAAAAACGATTTTTTTTATTTTTATCAAAAAAATCACCAACCCTGTTCAGCATACATGACAGCTGATGGGGTTAACTTTAATTTCAGGGCAGCACCAGTTTTGTCGTAAGTAAAATCCAAAATTCATATTCATATATGACAGACATTTTTGTCTCAAGCAAAATCTTTTAAGACAGAACTTTTGATTTTGTCTTCACCAATTCCAAGTTTTAAAAAAAAGGAAATTAGTTTCAAGGTGAAAGACTTCCACAAACCGTTATGAAGAAATGAAAACCAAACTACAATCAAGCTATAGATCTAGTTTCCAGCCTGCTTATCCACTTTAAACTTATCCTTCTGCTTCACTCCAGTTGTCTAAATGTAGTCGAAAGACGTAGACTGTTCCACCAGTGTCTAGAATTTTTAAAAATTTAGATTCAATCAAATCGAGGACTTCATATATGTAACAAACGACCACCCCAACAAACACAATAGAAGAGATGTAACCCTAACTCTGACCCGACCTTTACTGGACTTACTTATCCCTATTGGGCCCTATCCCTGCCCTAAACATTCTATTCTACTGTTTCATGGTGGTCGCTCTTTATGGAATTCCTCCCCATTAGAAATAGTGAATTCCAAATCACAGATCATGTGATGTCACTGACGTTGATGACAAAAAAAAAAAGCAAGTGGCTATTCTCCGGTGTCGCGCCGTTCAATAGATCGGAAGCTGTTCTCCGGCGTCACGCCCCCGGTCTATTATTTGCAATTTATACCTCTCTCATCTGTTTATCTTGGAAAAAAATTAGGTATTTTTTTACTTTCCCTCCCGTTTCACACTCAGCTACCAGATGTCTATTTTCTACTAAATATTGATGCATTGAACACGAATATCAACTTCATTTCCGTCGCAAATTAATAGTTTTTGAAATATTTGATTGTATGCTTTGGACCAATCGGGGGGTTCCAGGGGGGTAAAAGAAAATCTGGGGAGGTTACCCATAATTTGATATTTTACAGTTAGATTTGAAATTGTCTTGAAAATAATTGATTTGCGACAGTTTTAGTGGCTTTATGTGTGATCTGCAGCAAACAGTACAGCAGTTGGACCCCTGAAACAGTGCATCTGTGTGCGGGAGTGAAAGTAAAAATTTACCCAAAATTCCCATAACTTCACCACTTCCAATAATACAGACGACAGGTTTTCAGACACAAACTGACTCAATTCCTCAAATTTGTAATTATGATAGGTGCTAGAAGAAACGTGTTCACCACTCTAGTGATGCAAGTTCATACCAAAGAGTGAGCATAAGAAGAAGTCACTTTTCACTGTTTCTAAAAAGGGAGATACGACAAGAAAGCACCGAGGTCGCGAAATATCAGTTAAATTTATCGAAAATTACAACAACAAGAAATAAGTTAAGGAAGAGGCTAGCCGTACTTAATGACGGCTAGACTGTCGTACTTAATGACGGCTAGACTGCCGTACTTAATGACGGCTAGACTG